ACAAATTTGTTACTCACTAACATTTGATTCTCACTAATAATAATACCAAGTTTATATTTTCACAATGTTTTTAAAAAATATCTAGTTGACAAAATATTGTCCATTATGTACAGTAATCCATATAACTTTTACGAAAGTCGTAAGTGAGTTGGCTTTACTGATTACGCGTGCACAAACAGAACTAAAATGTCTGTTAATGGGATCACTTTTATGCCTCATTCGGTGACTATCGTGTTAGCGAAATTTTCTATTCTGGAAGAAATGCAAATAAATGTACATCATATATTCTCTGCGTTTAGCTCAGAACATGTTAGTAAATCGTAAATTCACGACTAGTGAAGACTGCGTTTTGTACTATGATATTCTTTATAATATCAAACATAAATTTTCATTTAAAACGTTAAATAAAATAGATGAGTTTCAGTTTGTATTATGTGTTCACATTTATTCACTGCTTGATTTCTTACAAAATTGTGAGAAAGTATTCTTTTATGAGACGAAATAATTTAGTTTCGTCAACATTCTACCCTCATCATTAGTTTTGGCTGATCGCTGTTAACTACTTGTAAGTAGTTAAATTCTAATGAATAATATTTTCAGCGGTGTTTCGACTATCATCTGCGAAAACTTTGAAAATTTATTTATTCATAGTCCAAGGTTTTAAGCAATTGATATGATAATGACTTGCAAATTTTATACTTTATAACATCTCCTAGTTATATGGTTTGATCATGAATATTTCGTCATCTTTTGAGATAACATCATCAACAAATTGCATTGATTTTCTGATCTTTGGTTTCACGATTTAGAGATGGATGGTCCCGAAACAGTGATGCTGACCACCCAAAAACCGAAGGATTTGCTGAAAGTCACGCGTACAAAATTTTAATGGGGTTTACGGGGTCTTCGCACAGTATTTCTTTTCACTTCCTCTATCGAAAACTTGACCGTATCTTCCTTTTAAAGCTTGTCGTGTAAGTGTTGCTAACTTTGGAGCTGAATACTTCCAACTAAAGGAACTCTGTAAGTTTTAAGGTAGTTAGTGTAACCAATAAATCTACTTTTTATTAACCTAAATTTTATGGAACCGTTCAGAAAATCACCGAATGCTTAGTACCATCAATGATGCTTTTCTTCCTTGGATACCAAAATACAAAATAAATAAAATTAATTATAAGTCAAAAATATCGACTTCTAGATGATAGCTTTTTGGAGGTTAGATACAACCCAATCAAAGTGATGCTTGACTGTCAGGTGTTTTTCTTTTAATCAACAATATCAGAAAACCTACTCTGAAGAAAAAGTAAAATATGTTAAAACTCTTCTAAATTACCTTTAACTTATTGGATTTAATTATTTGGTAAGATATTTGATCTGAAGATATTGATTCATCTTACTCTTTCTAATCTGATTTTCTATTTAGTAGTAAGTCTTTTAGTATAGTCCTAGAAAGATTTGTCAGTATAAGCTTTTAATAACAATCAAAGTTTCAATTCACTTAGTATTGTTTGCTTGAATCTTCCCATTGATGCTTAGGACTGCAATTGATCAATCTCTTATTGGCATATGTGCATACCGTGAGTATTGAATTAAGACTATATCGAGGCAATACGCACGGTATGCACGCATTCCAATCTAGACTGATCAATTGGGGTCCTAAGCATCAATGGGAAGATTCAAACAAACAATACTAAATGAATTTAATTTCATCCCATTGCGCAAGCAAGTGGCTATCAGGACTCAGTAACTGAGTGGATAACACGATGGCGTTTGAAGCGAGAGTATTCGGTTCGAGTCCCAGGGTGAACATCAACTCTGAGATGCAAATACATCCAGCTGACGAGTCCCAAATAAGACGAAACGTGCATCTTGGATTCCACTTCTAGCCATTATCCATCTTTACTTATTGTCAAAGTTTCACTTATAAATAATCTAGTTTGAAAAGGAAGGAAAATATTTTGACAATATGTATTAATATGTTGTAAATATCTCCAAGTAATCATTACTGATAGTAAATTTTGAAAACAATCGCAGAAAATAAGTTCAGTGCATTACAAAAAAAATTATCATTATTTTGATTTCTTATAAAATTATCTATTTGATAAGGAAGACAGAAACTACCTCAGAGATAACGAGATTCTGCAATGCACTTCTCTTTATTCAGTTTTTCGTGCATTTTTTTGTTTTTTAAAAAGTACATAAAATTCAAATTTCAATGATTTATTTAAGAAGAATTTAAATATTTATTTAATCTTTTAAATTCGATATTTTAACTAATAATCTCAATAGTTTATACCTACGTATTTGTCTACCTACTTACCTACGTTATTTTGTATTTTAAAAAACTTTTTTTTGTTGAAAAAGATAAACAATTTTGTTTTATTCATAAGGGGGTTTTGTGGAGATTTTAGTAATTTTTATAATTGAATTCATAAGTCAATAAAGCTAGACCACCATGGAGAACTTGGAAGTACTGAACGGTCTTTTCATCTTAGTGAGAAGCCGTGATCAGTGGAGTTCAACCAAGTTTGTTATGAGATAGTCACTCAGTGAAGACAATGGTGGACGGTGGCACAAATTTTTTTTTCATTTATGAAAAGAAATAAAAATAACTGAAGTTTATCGGTAAAAATTTTCAATGTACTTATTGTGAAATCTTATTTATTTTAAAATAGGATATCGTTTTATATTCATTAAAATGGAATGTAAATGTTTATTGTTTACAGTTCAGTGATAAAAAAAATGAAACCTATTTTCTACATGATTATATTTACTGCCTTTGGTTTTGTATTATTATTTAACTAGATCATTAAATTATCGACAAACACTCAATAACTATATAAAAGTAACCAATCTCATGTTTCTGATCCTTGGTATTGATAGAATTCTACCGCTTAATTCATAATTTCATTAAGAGTTTAAATGAATTGATGTATTACGGTGCATTTTGTTTAACGTTGGGTGGTCGGAGGTGTTCAGCAGGACACTCTGAACTCAGGTTTCGTATCGAGTAAAATTAGTCAATAAAAGTTGTCTATAGTATTTAGGAGATTACTCTTCCTGCGGAGACCGTATCTATATCACTGTGTCGTAGTTCGTGAGAAATGTCAACTAGCACGAAACTCAGGTCCAGGGTTTATATCCGATTGTTTCGATCTACTTGCAATCATTATACTCTTGTGAAGGAAATAGAATATAATAAGGGACCATATTTTGTTTTTATGTTTGCGAATCCAAAGCCATTGATTTTATTTAGAGCTATACAAAGCTCTAAATTTTATTTTACACAGTACAAAAACAACATATACGTTTGGTGGCTACCTAGAATGTTAACTGAGTTGTTGAATATAAAGCAGTTTTAAATATAAGAAAGAGAAAGTCGTTCATTGATGAAATAAATGTATTCATAATTAGAATGCGTTGATTGAATTCATTATGTTGGTTACTATAATACTCAAGAAAATAAACTGGAGTATGTTACAACAGCAAATTATTTTAAGTGGGTATTGCAAATAATCCTTTACCAGTACTATTCAACATCAACTCATCAGGTTTCCAGTTAACAAAAAGCACAGGATTAATATTTAATATGATCAAGCTGTCTTAAATATTTCATAACTCACTCTTAATAGTGCAAAGATCACGGATCAACTAAGGCTTCACATAGCCTAATTCCACAAAGAATAGTCAACTATTCCGTTGTAGCAGATAAGACTGTTGAGCGTCATTATTCTGATGACTACATTATAAAGCCTTACAGTAAAACAAAGGAAGACTTGCATGTGAAAATCTTCTGATACAAATCTGCCTTTATACATGATTTCAGATGAAATATTTTATTCGAAATGCAAGTGTTGACACAAAAACTTCATCGTTTAAATCGACATGAAATTTGTAATAAGTAAAACAGCGAAGGTAACGTAATCACTCTAAACAGCCTCTCTCCAGGAGGAGGAGGAGAGGTAGATTGAAAAAACACATTGAGCAGGGTGTTTGAGGCAGATATCGAATAGAACTTGACAACAAGTAGAAAGTAGAACTCAGGACAGGGTTGAATAAGAATAATATATCTGTAAAATCTCAGCGAATGAATTTGAAGTAAATCCAACGTTTTACCTGGCAATCTAGTCCTAGCTTTTTCAAGGAAATATATGTAGTTCGAATTCATTCGCTTAGATTTTGCAAATATATTATTTCTATTTTATGTCTTACATCAACTCGGCACCCAAATACTATGAAACTGTTCACTCTAATTTAGACGAAAGTTTTTATATATTAGGACAGGGTTGTTTGTAGATCACTGGTTGATGGCATATACCTTACGAGGGTCAACAGGTGTGGATAAATATGTAACTAATTTACTTACAGTGATTTCACGCTGATATGTGAACTATTTCTTAGTATTTTGTTAGTTTTAATTGTTAAATCTATGAATCAAATCCAGTTATTTCTTCAGCAGTAAATACTCAGGGACTTTCAACGTTTTGTACTTGAAAATTATCGTTATATCTAAGATAAAAATAGAGATCCTAAGATATCCATCAGTATAATTCTAAGATATCATCAATGTAATCAAAGTTTCATTTAATTAAATAGTATGCTCTTATTAAACTGCTCAAAATTATTTTTGATATTGGTTTCCAAATTATAGTTTAAACAATTCTTAAAATTATTTTTAATCACCTCACAACACGCTAAACATCTTTATTCAAAGGTTTCATATTTTCAGTTCAACATGAGCATGCATAAGCAAGTATACATATATATGTGTAAATGTGTACCTTCAATTCTTTTTATATTCAAGCAAAGCTTCATAATTCATGCTGAGCTTAAATGACAACAGTCTACAGATAGCTCCTCTATTTAATGCTTATGATGTCTATGATGAGTTAAAGAGATTTGTTTTATTGTATCCTTGTTACTTTCCAAATTCATTTTCGAATGATACTTTTTTTTCATAATTACCACTATTAATCTAAACCACATGGTTTATAATATTTATGATTGGTATTTTATCTTCTAGGTCAAATATGCAAAAATATTTTCTTGTCCATTCGAATGATTACAAATTAGATACTAATACACAAATAGAAGCACACACTCATTATGTGAGTATAGTGATTGTTTTGTTGTTTATTCGTCTTCAAGCTTTTCTTTTCGATTCGTTCGCACTTTATTGGGTTGTTTGTTTTTTCCGGTGGGTTTATTCAAAATTCAATAGTTTTAGAGTTAGTTACTCAAAAAATTTTTCTGAAGTAATACAAGTTTAGTGTGGAATATTATTACTACCATTAGCCGAAAGGCATAAAATTAATTCGTTAAGTTGACAACAATCAACAATCAATAAACTAGTGAGTTTATTTATTAAATCAGATTGATAGTTCTTGTTATTTCAACATAAAATTTGTTCTAATATTATTCGACATACAAAGTAGTTTCAATAAAGAAATCAAGAAAAATATGCGTAATGGTCAAGGAAAAGAAGTTGCATCAGCAAGTGTAATGATTAAAAAATATGTAAAATTGGATCCAGATGATGAGTTCAATTCACAAACATTAATTAAACGACATGGTGAACAATTAAAAAATAAACATAAACCTTCAAAATGGTGTCGATTACATATAACAAATGATGAATTATGGTTATCTGGTGCTTATTGGTGGCCTAATTCTATATTGAATGGTATTCATTTAAGTGAAATCAATTGTTTAGTAAAATTTTATTCAACACCTAATCTATTAGCTATAGGTATAGCTTCACGTTTGTATGAATCTGAAAAACAATATGTTATACTCTGTACAAAAAGTGGTTCAGATCGTGAACAATTAGTAAAAACTTTAACTACACTTTGTGGAAATCGATATACACAATCAGAAAAAAGATTTAATGTTCCAGTTGTTGGACCTACTGTTAACATAGTTGAAATTTCATTATCACCCGATTTAAAAAAATCAGTTCCTGTAGGAAAATCAATAGAAATTAATCATGAGCCTAGTATACATCCAATATCATGTAATAATCCTGAACCATATATAAAAGAAACGACAATCAAAATTGAAAGACATCCTTCACCTAATCTTATATCAACAGCATCATTTTCACCTGATCATATAACTACTAATGTGACTGTTCCTGCTAATAATACTACTACTGTTAGTACTTGTACTACTACTTCTAATACTATAACTAATATTAATTACAATGATGCTATCGTTAACCATGATGTTCACTATAATGACTGTGATACTATCAATGCACCATGTACTATATCACCAACACAAAAAATATATCAAGAAATTCAATTGACTTCAAATGATAATATGAGACCATATCGATTGAAACGTTTTATGGCACCTTATTGTGAAGGATTAGAGTCTGGTTTAAATCCGAAAGATTTAATACATGTTTATTATGATCCAAAACAAGGAAATATTATTTCACCAGATGGACCAATTTATTTATATTGTGTCAATTGTCCTACTGAATAAAAAAACTAACGAATTATTTCAAAAAATGAAGATAATATATGATTATTTTTACCATCAATATTACTATTACAAATCATTACTTTCTACTGGTCATTGTAACAACACCGATTAGAGATCGATACTTATTCCAAAAGTAGAGAAAACTTATTATTCAAATGAATTATCACAGTCTTTGTTTTTCAATTTGTGAATTTATTAATTTTATTTTTACTAACAGAATGTATTATTAGTCTGTTTGCCTCATTATGTAATTAATTATTTATTTTTAAAAAAAAACAGCAACATCATTGGAGAACAATAACATAGAAACAATGACAAATATTAGTGAAACTAGAAGTTGGAGTGTGTACGTGGGGGGTGGTGAAATTTATTTATCATTTTAATGAATCAAAGGTGTCATAAATAAAGAAAAAAGATTCGTTTTAAAATAAATCAATGAGTTTGTTACGTTTTATTTTTACAAGTATTTAGAATTCGATTTGTAAATGTAAACTGTTTATTATAATTACAATTCACAGTTTAAAGTTATTTATATTTTAATTATTTATAAAGAAGAGTATTAAATAGTTTTGTAATGATAATTTGATTAGCTTATACACCAAGTACCTTCCATGGATAGATACTTTTAATTAGTCTTATAGAAAATACTTATGAAATGGTGGAGAAGATTTGTAGCTCAGGTGGGTGATTTTGATGGAGTATTGTTCTCTGAGCTGGATGGTTTAGTCGTAGAACTTCCATCGTCCTTCTGAACGACATCATCAACACGAACTTCGGGTAGTTTGTGCTGATGATGTCGTTCAGAAGGACGATGGAAGCTCTACGACTAAACCATCCAGCTCAGAGAACAAAACTCTATCAGAAAATACTTATGATTTTACGTATGTTATCAAAATTTTAGATATTGTACTTATGTCAAAAATCTTGCTTAACTTTCAAATGCAAAGGTTGTGTAGTGAACAAGAACACCATTGGGAACAATAGAATGTATTTGGGACGAAAACTACAGACTATCACACTAAAATCTGACAACCATACAGTAAACAGTTAATTTACAAACTATCAATCAATTATTTTAATCTTGACTGTTCCTTCTGCAAATATAAGTTCATTGTTTCCGATTATTATTATTCATACGTTTTTATACCATTTGGGTTTCGTTTCTATTCTTTCGTTATAGATCTTCTACCGAACTACATTCTCTCCCTGACCGTCGTCATGTACTACTTATATGGATGTAAGCAACCCACACCACAGTCGTACTATCATAATCCTATTCACCGTTATACTTCCCGAGTAAAGGTTATCCCACTGTAGTTTTTAGATAGAAGCTAGAAGCTTTAGTTTATAGTAGTCCGCTACATACTACCAATAAGTATATACTTTTGTGTACTATCAGAGAGTAAGTTACAACTATTTTGTATGAGCTGGATTAAAAGCAACCTAAAGAAAGCCTTATTGCCAATTTTCTTACTGAATGGTATTCATTGAAATGGAGTTATTCCTTACAAAAATTTAAATCATTTCCATAAAATCCTCTCATTAAAGACATAACCATGGGCTATTCGAATTACATTCTAAAGATGATCAGTATATATCGAACAGTAATAAGCACTGGACGATATGATATGGAATAGTGATTCATTAAACAATTAATATCAGGATCTTTATTATTTGTTAATAATACGTGGAGTATAGATTTGAGTTCGAAATTCAAAATTCTTACGAAAAAAGAATTAACACTTTTCCATCTGACTTGTATTATCGTTGGTCAAAGAGTTAACTATCAATATAATATTTCATGGGTATCTATTGTAATCACTGCACTTAAACAAAACTTCAAGATGACATAACTAAAGAAAAAATATATATTATTAGTAAAGAGCTTAGTGACTGTTTCACATACAGTTATTTATGGTACCGAAAGCTTATTAAAGAACATATTCATTTCGATTCTGAGTTTCAGAAAGTTTTGAATAAGCCATAATAATAACTGTAAGCAAAGATGGATAGTGGCTAGAAGTGGAATCCAGGATGCGCGTTTCGTCCTATTTGGGACTCCTCAGCTGGATGTACCTGCATCTCAGAGTTGATGTTCACTCTGGAACTCGAACCTAGTACCTTTCGCTTCAAACGCCATAGTATTATCCACTCAGTTACTGAGTCCTGATAGCCACTTCCTTGTGCAATGGGATGAAGTTTAAATTCACTTAGTATTGTTTGTTTGAATCGTCTCATTGATGTTTAGGGCTGAAACTGGTCAGTCTTTAATTGGCATATGTGCATACTGTGTGTATTGCCTCGATATAGCTTTAATTCACAAGGATTGTAAGCGAAGATCGATATTGGCTAGCAGTAATAACTTATCGATGATAACATCATTTTTAGAAACCATCATCGTAAACATTCTAAATCAATTTTTCCTAGTTTAACCTAATCATTTTACTACTCTTGGTCAATAGAATCTTAATCAACTCTAATAAACATAAACCTATTGCAAATGTCACTTAATCGTTAATATGTATTATACTTAATAATTTTTGTGAACTAACAGTATGAAAGCATGAAATAGGTTGTGGAAGTTAGCTTTAACTAAATAAGCCATAGTATATGTTCACTTGAACTAATATCTTAGAGGTAAGGTAATAGAATTAGCTCCTTTTGAGTTACGTTTTAATTATTGTACCGTATACATATATATGGAATGCTCAGATTTTTGGATGTTATCCCCTCTAATCTCATAGTTATTTATAAATAAACTCATTATAATGAGAGTTGTAGTTTCAAATACACGTTTCACTGACCGATTGTCTGAAGACTTCTTATTACATAATTTTAATAATTTAAATGAATGTGAATTCCGTGTTTATTTTCCAATTCATGTACCTACTTCCTATCAAATCTGGGACGTAGGTACATCCAGTTGATGAGTCCCATGCAGGATGAAATGCGTCCCATTGATTCCACAGCTAGCCACCATCCAACTCTGTTCACAAGAGCTTGTTATGTTTATTACAACTAGTACACCTGTCATCATGCTATCGATTTGTGCTTTTTATTTATTGTTTATTTATGTAATCTATTACACTGTTATCACTGGCACGCAAATTGCCTTGATAAATTCGTATATGCATGTAAATACTACCGTATATTGGAATGAAGCCTGATGAGGATTTGGTTGTAAACAATATTGTTCCCTTATATATGTTTCTCTAATTCATAATTTGGGAATTTTCAAAATGATTTAATTTTAGATAGATGATTCGAAGGTAGTGTCCATCACAGGGTAGCATTAATTGAAAACCTTTAAAAATAAGCTAATAATAAACAGTTCTTCATTTGCCGTTTGAAATCCCGCACGAACTCTGTTCGAACTTTAGGTCTTGTGACAAGCATAACACCTTTTAATTAAAATTCAATGTTACATTCCCCTTTTAGTAACACAGTCATCCCCTATATGAGCATTCTCCTAAATAAGGAACTGTAACACTTTGGATTGCAAAACATTAATGCAGTTTAATTCCCAAATATTCACCTAAATCAGAAATAAGTTTTAAAGAATAATGTTTACAGAAAATCACGGAAAAGTATTTACGATAATAATAGAATGATTTATTCATTAATACAACAGACTTTTGATTTAAATTCTTTCATCAGTAGACTTCCAAAATTATTAAAAGCACTCGTTAATGGTTACATAACTTTCAAACGTTTATATTCAACTGACATATCCATTTTCTATCTATCTCTTAGTGTTGTCAATCGCATTACGATGTAATAACAACCAGTTTCACAAATTAATCTGTACAGTTTATAGGAACATTATGTTTAAATACAATATACTTCAACCATCTGCTGTATTATTTTACCTCCACAGCAAGTGTTGAACACTATTGATGACTATAACTAATGTGCTGTAAACATTGTAACATTGAAACCTGATCTTATTTATACACTTATTGCACTATAAAAAATTTTAAATCTTCCATTTGCCGAATACACACATTATAATTGATTGTATCATTTAATCAATCAATCCATCAATCTAATCAATAACTTTAACCTAGTAATAATAGCCTTCACAATAGTTTTAATAAAAGTAGTCATAGTGACAGTTAGTTAATGGTATTTCCTAATTCTAGAACAGATTTAGCATACAAATTTACTCAATGTTTTATATTCAGCATACCGTTGTCTATCTCTTTCTTTCTTTATATATTTCTACCAGTCTGATTATTCATAATAAAATTATAATAATGAGGGATACAAATCAAAAACACAAGTCAATAACTAACAAAACATTAGTGTATGGATTCTATTCACAAAATTTCGAAAAAAATTGATTAGTTATTTGACAATCGATACTTTAGTATTAAGATTGAACTGAAATGTTGGCCCTCTCTTTGACTTACTATATACATTTATCTTGATTATTATAAATTTAAGTCTATGGACACTTTTTAAAGTGAATTTCTTCTAATATAGTTTCCATGTTCTACCTGTTATTAGCTGTTAATGAGTTAAAGCACTTGATATCCTAACATCTAGATATATTTAGGAACTTGGCTTTACTTCGCATTTTATCACTAGCCCGTATACTTGCACTGTGCCTTATGTAATATCGGTTGTCGTGGTATGCCGTATGCCTTATTCTAACTTCTTGACAAGTCGATTCATCTGTCCATCATGAGTCATGTTTTCACCTTGTTAATTGTTCACTTATTAACCCTAACCATTTCTATATGAGCGTAGGTGTGTGTACACTTCTTATTCTATTTATCACATCTGTCATTTATTCTTATCTGACTATAAATATTAATTAACGCTTGGTAAAAGTGAGTTGGCTCACCCGCTATCTCCAATGCGTGTCATTTTTGTTTTGCTCGCTGATATTTACTGATGTGCTTATAAATTTCTGGCCTGCGTCATTTTATCAATAAAACTGCAGCTGCCGCTTCTCTTTGCCTTCTGATATTATGCACCCTTAAGACTTGTATTATAACGGTTATCGAGGTGAACGATTAGCGAAGCACGGCACTACACTTATAATAGAATACATGGATTTATGTATGATAAATAAACAGAATTAATCAGAAGGGGATTTGTGGAGATTTCAGTATATTTCAAAGTTGAAATCATGAGTCAATTGAAGCTAGACCACCATCGAAAACCTGGAAGCACTGGACGGCCGTTTCGTCCTGAGGAGTCCCATAGTAGGACGAAACGGCCGTTCAGTGCTTCCAGGTTTTCGATGGTGGTCTAGCTTCAATTGACTCATGATTTCAACTTTGAAATAAACAGAATTAAATTGATTAAAAATTTATAACAAATAAGAAAATCCAAATATATTGAAATTAATCAGGAACATAGTTATTGTCATCCATTCAAGGAAAACTAGACCGTAAATCTTGCGATTCGATTAATATATCTTTCCACAAACAGGTCTCTTCCGTCATTGTTTTTCTTATTATTAGTAATATAATAAATGTGATTCATCATAAAGTGGATGTTGAACTGTCTTTCATTTT